AGGTGAGGACCCAGCTGGGATCCGTGCAGCAGAGGTCGTTGCACTGTTTTCTTTCCAATCCTTTGAGGCTTTTTCCTCCCTGTTAGCAAGGACCCACACCCCACCATTGAGCCTTGGCTGTGCAGCTCCGGGGGGCTCTCTGGAGCAGCTGGCACTGGGAATTGTCCCCATAGGGTTCTTGCATCCATGTCCTGCAAGCAGCCTCCATGGCAGCATCCCTGCCTGGCACCCACCGCCCTGCTGCAGAACGAGGGGTGTTGAGCATCGGTGTGCATCCAAAGCCAGCAGAGCAGACAGCTCCCATCCACCCAGCAGCAGTCCTAACGGCAGGAAAAGGATCCTACGCTTTCACTTTAGCTTTCTCCGCTCAGTGAACCGTTTGTTTCTCTGAAGACAAAGAGGAAAGGAAAAACATTCATCCGTTATTCAATCCCTGCGATTCGCTTCTGGCTGTCAACGTGTCGGCACAAAACCATGCTGGAGAAGGTGAAGGAAGGATGTTTATTTCTGGTTGAAGACTGATTACATCACTAGCGTGGATTAATGTAATAGAATATTGTTATACTCTCGGAAGAAACCTAAGAATAAATATGAAAAAGTAAAATAGTTCCTTTCCTCTGTCTGTGGCGATGAGTGATGAGTAAGCGTCGTATTTACAGGATAGTTATCATTCTCTAAACTCTGTGCTGAATAAATATTATCTTGAAAGGGTAAAAAAATCCATTGAAATATTTTTAACTCACCACAAAATTAAAAAAAAAAAAAAATTAATAATAATAATAATTAATAATAATATCCGTGTATCTGTCCAAAGCGAGGGTTAATTACGTGTCAGTCATCCACTGCACGGGGTCAGTGTCCAGGATAGCAGCCTTCCTCCCTGCAGGTGAGGTCTCAGTGCTTTTCCTCGCTCCAATCCCATGCACTGCTACTGATTCTTCAGGCTGCAACACAGAAATGGAGCAGGGTCACACTCAGCCCTGGTGTTCCTGGGCTCTGCTGGGTTTCCCTTGGCTGAGTTTTTAATAGGAGCAATGAGAATGGCTCAGTTTGTAAAAAATATATATATATAACTTTAAGCATAGAGATGGGTTTTGTGAAAGGGAAAAGGCTGCTCTGCTTGGATCCTCAGTTTAAATGGATGAGATCAGCATCACCTGCAAACACAGCAGGATGCAGCTTTGGCCAATGAGGAGTTCCTCCTTGGTTGATATCAGACTGATAGATCAGAAATCAACTCTTGATGCTTGGCATTAAAATAATTCATCTGCACACCCGGCACCACAAAACCAAGTCGTACCATTCTGGGGCTTTCAAATTATGATCAAAACAGCAGATATCAGAGATACCTTGATTTCCCCTTACTTTAAAGGGAAGGGAGACAATTTAATCCTGTAATGAGAGAAAGTATTACTTGCTGCTCTTCATAGGCAGTGTAATTATTCAGCTGATCTCTGGAACCACTGAAATAATGACAAATTAGAATGCCTTTCAGTTCCATCTACCTTTTAGAGCTATTCATCTTCTGGAGTTATTATCACTCCAAAGGCTTCTTTATATTTTAGGCAGTGGCCTCCATACATCACAGAAAACACACAGAAAATGTTTCTGCTGCCAATAAAAGTTGCCATCAGCCACAACAGGCAGCAAATATTTGTTTATGCTTTCTGAAATAGATTGACTAAGATACGGGAATGCAATCATGGTGAAGAGTGACATTTGTCCAGGCATGATATTTACAATATTTTGATTAGCTGCGATGGCTGAACAGCCAAGCAGCTTATGTTAATAAATGCCCCGTTCCAATTAGACATCTGTGTTCTGAATCAGGATTAAAGAAAAGAAAAGGAGCCTTCGGTGGCACGAAGCCTGCTGTCATGGCTCCTGAGCTGCCCATCTATCTTTTGGGCTTTGCAGGAAGGGCTGGGAGGGAACAGTTTACATCAAACCACAAAGAATGGAGAATTCTGTTGCTTTCGGCCCATTCCAAGGCCAGCACGTGGTTTTCTCCCAAGGTTTTGGATATGACATGAACTCGTTTTGCAGCTCCTCACAACCCCATCTTTTGGTTGCCACCAATCCCCATAGAAACAGAGTGCTGGCTGCGGCCAGCTGAGCTGAGCATTGCTGGGTTTGGGGAAAGGAGGATGGGAGAAGGGCAGATTAAAAGAAAAAAAAAAAACCAACACATCTATTTCTGGAAAGTAAGTCAAACAATGACTCAATCACCGCTGCACAGTTCATAAATCCCTAATTAAAGGTTTGGAGCTCCTCCCTGCTGCAGATGTTTCAGAGTTCCAGCTCCAGTGCCTGCACAGCATGCCCAAGCATGGCAGCACCCATCGGACTGCAGCTCCCAGCAGCATAGGGCAGATGATTCTGTGATGATTCTGTGATGATGGGGAGCTTGAAAGAAACCTTCTCCATCTGGCTGGAGAGGCAGATCCCTCACTTTGCTAAGAGGTATTTTTAAAAGATGCATTTTTGCTTCGTTTTCAAGCACCTGCATCCCGGAGGAAAAGTGGAAACTCATCACCTTGCTCTGTAAATTCATTGAGCAGAGGGATAAGGACAAGTTCAATGCCAGCTGCCTCCTCCTATGTTTTTATTCAACACCACAACATCAGCTAAGACATTTCCAGCTACTTTTCCCCCAGCACTGCATGGAGATGCACAGGAAGGGCTGAGCCCCACATCCCACAGAGCACCACCTGAAAGCAGCTGTGTGTTGGGTTATTTAAAAGCAGCTCCAGCAATGGCCTGGATGCACGGTGCCCTCTGGAGAGCTTTGGAGCTATAATAAGTACCTGCTCCTCATCTCAGTCCTCTCTGCCAAAGCAGCTTTTCAGAGAACTCATCTCCCTGGTACATGACGGGTGCTCCCAGCTTCCAGCCTGCAATCACCATTTTGCCTGTCCCGAGCTAAACCTCTTCCTTTACAACTCCTTTTTTTTACGATATTAAGTATGACAAGCTACATAAAATGTTTTGTTGCCTTGGCAACTGCAATGCATTCGCTTCAATGTGGGTTATGAGGAAGAGGACAGCCTTGATGCTAACCCACAGTAACGAGAACGGCACAAACCAGTGGGCAAAATGCTGGACCAGGCATTGAGGGGAAGAGCCCCCACCACTCATTCTGCTTCCCTGTGCCCATATAGAGGACAACGAAGCTATAGAAATGCCTTTAAACAAAGAGAGAGCAAAATCTGGTTATGTATTAATTATAGGGTGGGAAGAGCTTTTGTTTTGCATGAACCCAAGCTGCTGAGCCATTGTCTCCCATTCTTCTGCACTTCCCTACAGTTGTGCAGTGCTCGGATCCTTGGGCTCAAAGATGATTGTGTAAGAATGAACAATGGACAGAGGAAATGGAATAATCGGAGCAATTTCCCATAGAAATTGGACAGACGAATGTCTCTAATTGGCATTCCATTATTACATTTGTAACACACTTTCTTACGAATTCATTACTTTGTTTTTCTTTGTACTGAATGCCCACGAAAATCTCTGGGGACGAGATTTAAATCATTAGCAATGAGTGATAAGAAGCTAAATTTGGAACGACAGATAAGAATATTAATTTGTAAAAGGAAGAGGTCCTTGGAAGAATGGTGGAAGTCCTGCAGCCTTGGAGCTGCTCCTGTGCTCCTCCTGCCCCAACTTTTGCTTCCAGCCAAGGACAACAACCCAATTCTTCCTGCCCCAACTTTTGCTTCCAGCCAAGGACAACAACCCAATTCTCTGCTGCAAACATGTAAGGCTCCAAATTGAGCCAAGGGAAAAGGATGAAGCAAAGTGCCTTTGAAGTTTCTGTCAGTTGGAAAGAAGCTTTTGGAAAAGCAACAGATGAAAAAGGAATCCTCTTTCTGCAGGAATCGTGTAAGGGCTGGAGATGGGACTCTGCTAACTGCAGGAGATTGGGAAACAAAGCAGGAGATGTGAGCACCAAACAGGGAACACCAGGCACTCACTCACTCCATGCTGAACAAAAGGAGTGCATCTTTTCTGCACATCACTATTTCCTGTCCGTGAGGCTGCTTTGATTTGAAACAAACTCCTTTTTCCTTTGCAATAACAACAGCAGCAATGACAGCGATAATAACACAAACACTGAAAGCCTGGCAGGGGAAGGATAAATTACAGCTCCGTGCCTCAGCAGCACATTGCAGCTGCTCCCACCTCGTGTTTCCAACAGGACAAGCTGTCAGCTCTGCTCTCCAGCAATGGCACTGACACTGATCCATCAGCACTGTCCCCGTGTGTAGCCCAGAGCTGCATTGCACACACCAAGGAGCAGGGAGATGGGGTGGGGGCTGCCTGGGGCTCCCCATTCCCTGCACTACAGGCACCCGACAGCTGCCTCCCACATCCCTTCCACATCCCACCCACCCGTGGCATGGAGCAGGAGGTTCATCACCACTTCCTCCCACTAATGGAGATATAAATCCAGGAAGGGTAATATTTGGAATAAAGAGGACAGAGCTGAAGCGAATAGCAAAGAGAATCTCTGAAGGTCTAGCATCAGCAAGGGGAAGGCTGCTCTTGTCTTTTGGTGGCTTAAGCAAAAGGAGACATTGGTGCTTACTGCCGGATCATCACTTGAACCACCCTTAAAGCTGCTTCAGGTACTTCAGTAACGAATGACATCTTTATGTCCTTCCTCTAATCTGGGCGGCCCTTGGTCCTCCAGCCTGAAACAGTTCCCAAAGCTCACATGTAAGTGTATTAAGAGAGATTAGTTCATTAATCTACTCCTTGGTACCGTGTCTCTTTATCATTTCATTTTAATAATTTGCACTAATTGACAGAGCAGATTCCCTCCTAAACTCAGGAACTTGGGCAGGACATTTGCTGTAAATCACAGCACATTTTCAATTGGAAACACCTGATCCTATCCACCCCCCAGTGCCTCTGCTGGGGCTCAGCACACCAAAGGTGCTCCCAGCACAATGTGACCACGAGTACCCAGAGCACCCCAACGCACACACACAGCACCATCAGCCCTCAGCAAGAAGCATTGCTTCCTAGAGTCAGAGAGAGTGGTGAGGTGCTGGAACAGCTGCCCAGAGAGGCTGTGGATGCCCCATCCATCCCTGGAGGTGTTCAAGGCCAGGTTGGATGGGGCCCTGGGCAGCCTGGGCTGGTATGAAATGTGGTGGTTGGTGGCCCTGTGTGTTGCAGGGGGTTGGAAATTTGTGATCCTTGAGGTCCCTTCCAACCCTGGCCATTCTGTGATTCTGTGCCTCATCACCCCAGCAGGCACAGATGGGCAGAGGACCCCCGGAACACGGTGGTACCCACTTGGTCTGATGCTTGGAGCCCTTCAGGTGCGCGTGGTACTGCTCTATGGAGTTCAGTGTGACGTTGCAGATGTTGCACGTGTAGCTGCGCTTCAGGCCTGCAAAGAGAAGCCAGGTTTGTTAGCTGTGTACCCACCGAGCTTGTTGGTGCAGGCTGAGGGCTGTGCAAGGAGAAAAAGCATCTCTGTGCTGTAGGAAACGGCCTCTGCCTGTGCCACACACTGCTCAGAGTCAATGCAGCAGGCAGAGGGTGCCAACAGCTGCAGAACCAGAGAAAGGAAAGCGTACCGTTTGCCACTCACAAGCTTCTAATTAATCAGAAAGCACTCAGATCTCCCAGCTTTATAGACTTTTCTCCTTACAGTAACCTCTCTATGTACTTTTCCAGTCCGGGTTATCCAAGCACTGCTGAAGTCTAAAGGAATATTTGCAAAGAATCACACAGGGCTCAGAGGCAGCTGCCCAGGGACACCGCGGTCCCCTCAGCCATCCCATGGCTCTCACAGAGCATCATTCTGCTCAGAATAATGAGCACTGAGGCCCCCAGCTATTCCCTTGCTTTCTGCTGCACGGATTGGGGCCACATTCAGAGGCTGCAACCACTTGGGAGCTTTTTTCCAACAGCATCAACGCATCCGTTCAGCTGAGGTCCCTTCCATGGCAGGGAATGGAGCAGCTCTGCATGCAGCCCTGCGTGCCGTGCCAGAACGAAGGGCCAGAACAAAAGCAATTGCTGGTTTCTATAAACGGAGCAAACTTGGCAACAAGGCACAGAGGGTCGGTACAACTCGTGGGAAAGGCTGAGGCTCTCCTCTCTGCAGTTTGTACCATTTAACTTCGTTGTTCTTTCACCTTGGGAAAGGAATACAGCGGTTGCAAAGAGGATTGGTACAGAAACAAGCACTCCTGTGCCTCACCTAACATGTTTGCACTGCAAAGACAGAGTGGCTGAATGTGCATTAAACACCCGTTTCCCTCCTGGACATCCTTGAAACAGAAAGATGGCAATCAGAGCTTCTGACTGCTGCTATGCAGGGCGAGGCTTCACATAAATTAAGCACATAAAGGCAGACCTAAGTGTTCCCAATCCCCGATTCTGTTGTTTCCCTTAATAGTCTGCATGTAAGAGACCCATTTCTGCTCTCCTCCTCTCTTTTGTATTTAACATCCCAAGAATTCCCTGGGCATCATGGGCGGTATTAGCATTGCTGCATTAAACACACATCGGCATTACAGTAAACCATTGATGCTCAAATAATTCTGTCTTGTTCTCTTAGAAAAAAAAAAAAGAAAAGGGAATTTTAAATTCCAGTGTCAGGTTTTTGCTTCGCACTGATTCACTTCCATGAGGACCCGAACAGAGCATTTCAAGCTTAATTAAAGGGCTCAACGTGAAAACACAGAGGTGTGGGATTCCTACCACAGGCTGCAGTGCTCTGTAAGAACAATTTTAATGCACCTTGCAACCATCCTGTTGGTTTCCCACGGCGTTATTCCTGCACTGATCCCAAACAGAGGAGGCCGTTAGGAAATTCTGTCCTGTCCATATGCACATTTACTTTGGTGCCCTCGTGGCACATCAGCATTCCCTCCCCTGAATCATGACACGCGTTCATGTAAAATTGAATGCACTCATATCCATTCAATAAAATATTAAAGAGTGGAGTCGTTAATGTCATTCTGCATAAAATGCATTAAAACACATTCCAGGAGAGCTCTTGTTCAATCACATTTTACCAACCAAAATTGACAGCACGGAATGAGAAGTATTTAGAAGGCATATGAGGAAATTATGAGCCAGGAAGGAAAATTCAACTCCTTTGCAAGATAGCATCCACACCTGTGGCAATTCATCCGTGCACAGAGAATGCAAAGGCTGTGGGTGATGGCATCCCATGCTGCTACTGATTCTGCCCTACTGCTGAGCTGCACCCAACCCCACGCTGTCACCTCTGCTGCTCACCCCAAGCAGCCCTCAGGCAAACACCCAGAGCCCTGGGACGGAGCACTGATGGAAGCTGAACCTCATACAGATGGGAGAAACGGTGCTGCGACTGAGGCTCCTTCCTCTCCTCCCCTTTCCCGTTTCAAAACAAGACTTCAAAACTGCAGGATGAGCACCCAGCAAGAAGAACCAATGCTTTTGTTTCCTATAAATATCAGTTGTCCAAAAATATCTCTCTTATTTCTCGAATACGCATTTGTATTTATCAATAAATATTTTATTACAGCCATTATCAAAACATCAAAGGCTGCTGAAACGTTGTGCACTGACTGACACTGCTCATCCCGGGCTTACATAACGCATCAAATGTTCATCTCCCACAGCAGACAAAATAGAATTAATATTTCAGTTGCGATGGGAAAGCTGGGGATACATGGAGAGGAAATGAGTTTGCATTCTAACCAACACTGAGGCTGCAAAACGAGCAGGGGGAGCAGACAGAATGCGGTCGTGACCCGACCCTGCATTGCAGGACACCTGCAGCACAGCCCGGCTGCCTTGCAGCATCCCTGAACATTGCTCTGGGAGCAACCCACAGCCCCATCTGCCATACAGAGCAGTTTGGAAGCACAGATCCTGGGCAGAACGCTGCCCTGTGATTGAGGGAGGACTAAGCGGGAGCCCAACCATTTGTTTGCGTCACCGTGGGTTTGTTTACAGATAATGACATCCCCCGCCACTCCCAACCTTGGCACTTCCACGTCCCTGCGTATTTCCACACGGTGACTCAGCCCAATGAATCATTTAGGATGTTTGAATCACCCCGGGCAGCACCGGAGGGTTGGGGTAACAGAGCAATGCACAGCACACTGCGCGGCCATCGGCACTTCAAGGAAAATTATTTCATTTTCACAAGGGGGAAAAAAAAAAAAGAAAAGTTTCCTTATAACATTAACCCAAGGTGGGCAAACCAGGCTTCTCCCATGCGGCGGTGCTGAAAATCAAACCTGCACTTTGTGCTCAAGCCCATTGCAGTCACACACACTGCCTGCATGCTGGATTGTAATTGGAGACCGCGGAGAACGCTCTTTCAGGAGGCCCTTCCCTCTCCTCCCGTAATTACATCTCTATAATAAAAAGCAGCTTTGGGGATGAGGCCACATCCTCACGTGGCTCAAAGCAACGCATCCCATCTGGGTTGCACCCCACAGTGCCACGGGAGCCTTATGCAGCCCCACGCAGCTCCACGTAGCCTCATGCAGCCTCATGCAGCTCCACGCAGCCCCATGCAGTTCCACACAGCCCCACGTAGCCCCACACAGCTCCATGCAGCTCCACGCAGCCCCACGCAGCCCCATGCAGCTCCACGCAGCCCCATGCAGCCCCACGCAGCTCCATGCAGCTCCACACAGCCCCATGCAGCTCCACGCAGCCCCATGCAACCCCACGCAGCCCCACGCTCTCACCTCGCAGCTCGCCCAGGTCCAACGTCTTCCCCAGCTGTTCCAGCAGCTCAGCCCTGGCCGCGTTCTTCTTGTGCTTCTTGCCATCATAATGCTGCTGGGCCATGACGGGGTTGTTGAACCACGCAGCACACAGCTGGCAATAACGATCCGAATCCCTGCGTGGCTGCTGTGGGGATGCTGCTGGAGGCCGATCTGCACGGGGCTGCTTCAGTGAGCCCAGGGTCTCTGGCAGGAGGAAAAACGTGAGCATCAATGCTGTGCTGCACCAGGCTGCCAGAGCCCAGAGCAGAGCTGTGTTGGGCACGGAGAGCAATGAGCAGCAGTTATTTCATAGAATGGTCTGGGCTGGAAACACAGCAATGCCATCAGCTGCTCGGGATAGAGAGACAGATTTATAACCATCTCAGCATTATTACTTTTCAACGTGTTTGGTCTTGGAAAGAATAGGGAAAGCTGTCACAATTTTTAGTGTCACGGGTGAAAAAACTGCTCAGTAGTCATTCTGCTCACTCAAATGTTGCATTATGGGTTGACGAGTGCAGCAGCCACGACCTTAATTTGGTCCCATTTCCCTTCGGATTCATACGAGGCCGTCTGGGGTCACAAACGTGACCTAAATAACTCCAAGAGAATGAAGGGTGATGGGTCCTCACACCGTGAAGTCATTGGTTTCCAATGGCCTTGCTTGCCATGGGTTTCCTGCTAAATACAACATAAATCACAAAGCCTTGGAAAAGCAGGACAATAGAACGTAGATAACACTGGGATGCAAAAACGCACAGCTGGTAATTAATTATCACACCTCATTCAAAAATGCCTTCTTTTTGGTACCAAGTTCTTTCCAGATGAGATGTCCGATATGCACACAATACACCACGGTCACTCCGTGCTGAGAAGGGGCAACTTGAAGGCTGTGAGCACAGCATTCACTGCCTGCGTGGTTCCAGAGAATTCACATTGCTGCAAATCTTCTGCTGACCTGCCCGGAATGCACATCTATTAACTTTCCTGAAAGAAATCGTATCTTCCATCTAATGTTACTTACAACCTTATCTATTTCCAGGGCTTTATGAGTTCCCAATTGTCCTGATGACAGCTGCTGGGGTGTCGGATGCTCAGTGCCCGCAGTGCTGCTGGTGCTCTGCTTTGGAGGAGAATTTTCTCACCTCAGCCATCGTGCCCTGCCATGCACCCAGCACTGGCAAAATGAACTCATTGGGGTGTTTGTTAATAAGACGACTGCCATAATTGACTCCTGCTGCTGATGTTTGTTCTTCTCTTCGTTTTACCATCCAGCCAACCGCCCGCTCGCTGCCTTTGGATTTATTTCACCCCCCCAAGAGGATTCCCATCACATGGCCTCCGTGTAACTCTGCACTGCACCAGGTTTCCATGCTCCACTGCTGCCTTTGGAGCGTTGCAACAGCGGTCGAAATGCAGCCTCAGAGCGATGTGCTCTCAGTGCTGCTTCCAGCCCCGGGCCCTGAAGTTAAATCTGATGGATCCTTTGCTCAGCTTTCTCCATTTGTATGTTAGCTGCTGCCAGAGGGGAACCAAGGAGGCTTAACTCTGCAAAACTGGTGGTGTCTGCAGGAGTTACATCTCCTGCTCCTTAAGGAGACCCAAAAGCAGCATCTCTGCTGCAGGGCTGAGCAGTGCCCCCACCTGCAGCCCCCAGCTCAGCACCCCCAACCCACCCGGTGCCTGGGGTCTCCTCTCAGCACCCACAGCACAAAGCATTTCCTCGAGGCCAGTTTACAGCCCTAAGGCGTGCTGAACCCATCCTGACAGCCAACAGAAACACCCCGCGTGTTCCAAATCCTCCTGCAAACAAACAGATGAAAGCTGACTTCCCACAAAAGTGGATTTATCATTCTGATCTCTGGTACGTAACAAGAACAGAACAGGAAACATCACCATTCCCCGAGCTGCAACACGAACATTAATAATAAACACTCCCAAGACGTTAAAAATGTTGCTCTGTCCTAAAACACAGACATAAAAGCTGTGAGTTTGACTATTCCAAGTATTTCGAATGCTAAACAGCTCACGACACTCTGCCTTCCATTCCCCTGTGCTGTGGGAGGGAGGCGAGAAGCCTTGCTTTGCTGCATGAGGCAAAATGCAAAGTTAGAAACACTTAGCACTCTGCTGATGAACTCGTGGCTGACTTTTTTTTCTTTTTTTTTTTTTTGCTTGTACAGTTTTTTATTCATAGTTGTGCCTAAATGGTGCCCAACCTGTCATCGCTGCTGCTCTCCAAGAACTAAAGGAGGAGAGAGCAGCTGAGCCCCAGCTGAGGGCACTGCACGCCCTGTGTGTGGAGCAATGAAGGCAGCAGCTCTTTCCCCCCCCCTCCCAGCCTCTATAACTCATCCTGGTGCCTGGATTCAAGCTGTCGGTGTTGGACATGAGTGCAGAAATTCATTGGAAATAGCAGTGACACAAAGCCTCTGAGGGCTACAACTTCCTACAGGAGAAGCAACAGAAAATCATCACCAATGTTCCCCTGTAGTGATCAGACACTGCTTTCCCCTTGTGAGAGCCCTTATTGCTAGGGCCCTCCTCCCTCTTCTGCAAGCACCAGCAGAGAAATTGGAGATCTGTGTTTCATCAGGATGATAAAATAGACAGGGAAGGTGTAGCCCCGTAAAGAGGCTGAGAATAAATCTAATTTTCTATGAGACTGATGAGACAAAAAAGCAGAATATTAAAGAGGGATTTGCTCAGCAGCAGACTGCAGCCGTCAGTGCGTACCCAGCATCTGCAGAGCTGCAGATCCAACAGGAGGAACTGCCAGCATCAGGGCTGGGATTGAGCCCCTGCAGGTGTCTGCTGGGAACCTGGGGGTCCCCACTGCCTCCAGGAACTGGGAATGGAAATCCAGCCAGAGAAATTCTGCAAATGTTTCGCTTTTGTTGAGCGCGTTACTTATTTTTCAGTGCATTTTCTTTACTGGAAAACACTGCTCCTGAAAGAGCTCCTGAAATTCAGCCTGAATTTCCCTGCAGCTCCAACTGCATTCATTAGTCTTCATTTTGTCCCCTCGACTCATTCCATTGCCACACACCACAGAGACATCCGTGTGGATGAGATAACTTCCAGAAACGTGCACAGAATTTCACAAATCCACC